CTCTCTCTCTCTCTCTCTCTCTCTCTCTCTCTCTCTCTCTCTCTCACACACACACACACACACACACACACACACACGGAGCTGTCTGTCCATATCCGTATATAGCTTCCAGAAGGAACGCAGTAACGCAAGGCTTGGCCGTTTGTATGAATAGACAATAGCTCGGAGAACAAGCTAAAACAATAACGCCCTTGCACACATACAAGTTTGTTGGGTGTGGGTTTTCCCCCTTTCTTTCTAAAAGAAAGAAACCGTCTCCCCTTCGGGTTAGGAAGGAAGGGCCTTTGCAGAGTGTAGCAGGGTGTTGTACAGGTCCGCGGAGAGACTTTCTACCCCCAAAGGTAAGCGCACTTTCCCACCCCAGGAGGGACTGGGCTTGCCCCCAGGTACACTCATCAACGTGCCTTTTTACAGTGCTGCACGGTCTGCCCAGTGCAAACTGCTCTCGGAAAGCGGCTCTGCTGGCACTCTGGGTCAGACAAGCCCCGAGCCTTCCTGATCGCGATTCGGGTGGGTTATATAACGCGTTCAGGCGCCCGGCCGAGCAGGTACATCAACACCCCCCAGCCGCCGCAGCCGCCGCTGGAGATCACAGCGCTCCAGGAAGCCGCGGCTGGGAGGGCGACGTGCTCAGGCGAGGGGAGGCTGATGCTGTCTCGTCCCTCTGTGCCCTCCCCTCCCCCGGCGTCGCTGCCGCCCTGGCTCTCTGGTTCCGGGCAGGACTGGGCGCTGCAGCCCGCTCCCGTTGGGCTGGGAAGGAGGAAACGCGTTGTTTGTTCCCGCTCCTCCGGCGGCTTGAAGCTCCTTGCCCGGCCCTCGCCGCGGGGCTGCAGGATTCTTCCCATCCGAGCCCCAGCCGGCGCTGCGTGGCCCCCTTTCCCCGTGCGTTTTCCAGAGGAGCCGGGGGCTCAGCTCCGCCCCCCCTCACTCTGGTGTCACCACTCCCTTGCCTTCCCTCAAGCTGCTCCCGATTGACCCCGGTGTAAGTCAGAATCGGGTTCCCCCAGGGCGAGGCACTGAGGAGTGGAGACCCACCCTACTTGCAGCTCCGCCAGCCTCTAAACCAAGGCCGGAGCCAGCCCAGAGGAGAGCTGCGCCCTTCTGCCGCCCAAGCTGCGGCTCCCTGCCTGCCTGTCAGCGAGCCGCTCTCCTGCCTCCCAGCTTTAATATAAGCTACCCTTAGCCTGGCCAGTTCTCTGCAGTGGGGCTGCTGTTACCAATTGGCAAGTTGCAACCAAACACATTGGACCAGATTTCGATTGCAATTACTGCGGTGTAAATACAGAGAAATTCCACTGACTTCAGGTGGATTCCTCTGGATTTACACCGGCCCCTCCTTGCTACAATCTCTGCCAAATCCAGTCACACATTAGCCAAGTGTATGTGTCCCATTGGATTTGGTGCTGCACCACAGAGATGAATATAATAACCCCCTTCCTCCTCTGGGTAGCATTACACACCTTCTCTGGTAGAGGCAAGGAGCAGTTTTTGGTGGAAAGTGATTTTCTGGAAACCTATTTTGATCAGTTAAAGTCAAATCTTGGGCATTTTGGAAGACTTCAGGTGCCAAAGAGCTTCTCCCTTTTCCTTCTTCTCTGGAGATTTGATAACTTTATAGTCAATCATTTTTTATTTTTAAAATGAGGGGCACCAGGTACCCTTTGAAGAAGGAGGCTGATAGAAATGGCTAAGTCCAGGCATATTAAGCAATTCTAAAGCAGAGATAGGACAAAAGAGAGATCTTTTTTCCCCTGAGATCTGAGGAAAGTTTTACCCCTGATCAAGTATATTTAAAGCCAAGGTATGTATTATATCTGGAACCAAGGTAGCTCTATGTAAGTCATTGTCAAAACTGTAATTCACTTAATTGTGGGCAGGATCAGGTCCAGAAATAGCAGCTCCAAGTTGGTGACAGATACATCTAGTCCCAAGGCTCATCCTTCATTTTATTCTTA